GTTCTGAAGATCAAGGAAGGTGACCTGAGTTCCGGTTGTCAGATAACGAGAATTTCTTATTGATCCACCGAAGATAAACGAATTCAGAAGGCCAGGAGTTGGTGCAGGAGCACGCAATCTAGGAGGGATTTAGTGATTACAGTCAGGAGGTCAGAAAGTACTAGAATTAGTCGAGTCTGACGATACTGTAAGTTGATTCGTTTATAGTGAACTTTTACTGGCTTGAGCTCGAAGTTTTTACCCAGTTACGAGTTTTCTCCGTCAATAATTTTTAAGTGTTATTTATTTTTCAATAATTTATTATTTGCGATGATTCAACATAGGATAGTTGTACATGTGAATTCATCAGGATTAATTAATAACTGTAACTTGTATTTATTAATTGGTAAATTTAAATTCTGCATAAACATCTATTCATCCCCCCTCCCCCCAAAGTGTTAATTGGGTCGAACTTCGTTATTTCCCTTGTCATGTCTAGCTTAATTGCTAAGTTCCCCTGAGGAGGCAATAAAAATGAACTTCAAAATTTTAAAAGAGTCATGACAAAAGAGTTGTATACATCTTTTCATTTTATCTTCTTTTGAATTGTTGCACATTTTCATCTCTAACATTTTTTTAATCAAACAAATCTAACTTTTCATTAAGAGTCGTAAACCTTATAATTTGTCGCGACAATTTATGCTTTTCATTTCCATTGTATCTAGACTAATTCAGTTTTCTTTACAATTTTAAAAACACAGAAGTAGTGAACAAAAAGTTGACTCTAATCTCTAATTAATTTTTTTTGATAATAAAACAATGTATGCTTTTCATTTCCATTGTATCTAGCCTAGTTCAGTTTTCTTCACAATTTTAGACNGAACATTGAGAGAAACAAACGATTAATTCATACATATCATTCTAATAGTTCAACCTTCTTTTTGATTTCTTCATAGTATCGAAAAACATCAACTTCACATAAACCAAATGCCAAAACACATATTTCTATAACATCTGTCAAAGTTCTGAAGATCAAGGAAGGTGACCTGAGTTCCGGTTGTCAGAGAACGAGAATTTCTTATTGATCCACCGAAGATAAACGAATTCAGAAGGCCAGGAGTTGGTGCAGGAGCACGCAATCTAGGGTGGGTCGAACTTCGTTATTTCCCTTGTCATGTCTAGCTTAATTGCTAAGTTCCCCTGAGGAGGCAATAAAAATGAAATTCAAAATTTTAAAAGAATCATGACAAAGAGTTGTATACATCTTTTCATTTTATCTTCTTTTGAATTGTTGCACATTTTCATCTCTAACATTTTTTTAATCAAACAAATCTAACTTTTCATTAAGAGTCGTAAACCTTATAATATGTCGCGACAATTTATGCTTTTCATTTCCATTGTATCTAGCCTAATTCAGTTTTCTTTACAATTTTAAAAATACAGAAGTAGTGAACAAAAAGTTGACTCTAATCTCTAATTAATTTATTTTGATAATAAAACAATGTATGCTTTTCATTTCCATTGTATCTAGCCTAATTCAGTTTTCTTCACAATTTTAGAC